GTTCAAAGGTAGCAGAACTTGTGTTTAAATGCACAACTAAACAAAGTCAAGATGTGCTTTTTGGTCATGTTCAGTCCGCAGCAGCATCCCTTAGTTTTCCTTTTTTTTTTAAATTGATTAATACAATGTGTGGGCGTATACAGCTGAATTTGTTTCCTGGTGTGAAGATAAGAAAAGGAGAGACTTACAAGTAATCTGACTCCATCACCTCCTCCTCTTCAGGGATCTGTTCTCCTGTTGTCATTTGCTGTTTCTTCAATGAGAAAATTTGGCAGCTGTTAGCCGCCTATGCGCATGCAGAGAGGGTATGCTGACAGGGCATGCTGGCTATTTTAATGTGGGAGGCCTTTACAGAGTTGGCATTCCAGGTCTAGGAGTCAGCTGTGCTATTAGGATTTCAGTGTCTGGGGATGGAGGCATACAATAGTTTGATTGTGATGAGCTCTGCTCACATGTGGTACACACAAGGTTCTCCTGCTGAAACATGCTGAGCTATGTGCAAGCAGGGATTGTTACTAGACAAATTGCCTTCTTCTCTTTGGTAATCCTTGTGTCTCAGCAACAGAGATAGTTAGATGGTCAATTTGAACAAAATGGCTCTTAGTGCCTCAGCACATAAGTATTAAAAAATGTAAATGTCATATAAGTGTTACCAGATCTGACAAACAAGAAGTTACCTAATCTTGGATTCAGTTATTCTTGCTTAATCACACTGTAATGGCATGTAATGCTACAGTCACACCAGGGAAAACAGTGTTTGAAGGATACAGCATGACCAAAATTATTGTCACAGTGTATAATGAACTTGGAAGTTTGTTGCCTTTGAAGTGGCTTCTTTGAAAATGGGAATCAGGTCAGTGATCGCATGCAGTCAGTCACCATCTTCAAAATGAATTTGGTACATCAATATTAAATCTCAAACCTATGCAGACTGATATCAGTCTGTTTAAGATTTTAGTTGTGTGCAGTCTGGGCCATTACATCATGTTATGTGTCTCTCTTCATTCATTTGGCCAGTATTTATACTACATTTGATAATCACTGCAAACATACCTTTGTGGAGAGTTTAAATCAGCTCACTTTAGAACAGGCACCCCTTAAGTTGTTTTGTTTTTTGTTTTTTTCAAATTTATCTTTCATTTAAGAAGTCTTGTGAGTCTATTATTAAAGCGCTTTTCCATATTCAGATGCTAGAGGGCATTGTGGGTTGGTGGTATAGAGTAGTGTTTCAGGGCAGAGAAAAACCTTTCTGTTGTGAGGTTATCTGTTGCAAACTCAGTGTGTGTACCTCTTCTACTCTTAAACACTGCACCACATATTGATGACACAGGAGACCAGTTGCCCTCTGACTGCAGACTTAAAGAGCCAACCCCTTTATGATGCTGTTCCCTGTTTCTGTTGGTCTGTCACAAGTCAGGGATTCATTTCCAAACTGTAAAGTCAAACAGTGCAGACTTTCTACATCCCCTCTTCCACATTATACTGTATGCTCCCAGTCCTACTATTTTGGTAAAGCGGACACATTATAAGAGTTCCACTATACAGGGAGTGCAGAATTATTAGGCAAATGAGTATTTTGTCCACATCATCATCTTCATGCATGTTGTCTTACTCCAAGCTGTATAGGCTCGAAAGCCTACTACCAATTAAGCATATCAGGTGATGTGCATCTCTGTAATGAGAAGGGGTGTGGTCTAATGACATCAACACCCTATATCAGGTGTGCATAATTATTAGGCAACGTCCTTTCCTTTGGCAAAATGGGTCAAAAGAAGGACTTGACAGGCTCAGAAAAGTCAAAAATAGTGAGATATCTTGCAGAGGGATGCAGCAGTCTCAAAATTGCAAAGCTTCTGAAGCGTGATCATCGAACAATCAAGCGTTTCATTCAAAATAGTCAACAGGGTCGCAAGAAGCGTGTGGAAAAACCAAGGCGCAAAATAACTGCCCATGAACTGAGAAAAGTCAAGCGTGCAGCTGCCAAGATGCCACTTGCCACCAGTTTGGCCATATTTCAGAGCTGCAACATCACTGGAGTGCCCAAAAGCACAAGGTGTGCAATACTCAGAGACATGGCCAAGGTAAGAAAGGCTGAAAGACGACCACCACTGAACAAGACACACAAGCTGAAACGTCAAGACTGGGCCAAGAAATATCTCAAGACTGGTTTTTCTAAGGTTTTATGGACTGATGAAATGAGAGTGAGTCTTGATGGGCCAGATGGATGGGCCCGTGGCTGGATTGGTAAAGGGCAGAGAGCTCCAGTCCGACTCAGACGCCAGCAAGGTGGAGGTGGAGTACTGGTTTGGGCTGGTATCATCAAAGATGAGCTTGTGGGGCCTTTTCGGGTTGAGGATGGAGTCAAGCTCAACTCCCAGTCCTACTGCCAGTTTCTGGAAGACACCTTCTTCAAGCAGTGGTACAGGAAGAAGTCTGCATCCTTCAAGAAAAACATGATTTTCATGCAGGACAATGCTCCATCACACGCGTCCAAGTACTCCACAGCGTGGCTGGCAAGAAAGGGTATAAAAGAAGAAAAACTAATGACATGGCCTCCTTGTTCACCTGATCTGAACCCCATTGAGAACCTGTGGTCCATCATCAAATGTGAGATTTACAAGGAGGGAAAACAGTACACCTCTCTGAACAGTGTCTGGGAGGCTGTGGTTGCTGCTGCACGCAATGTTGATGGTGAACAGATCAAAACACTGACAGAATCCATGGATGGCAGGCTTTTGAGTGTCCTTGCAAAGAAAGGTGGCTATATTGGTCGCTGATTTGTTTTTGTTTTGTTTTTGAATGTCAGAAATGTATATTTGTGAATGTGGAGATGTTATATTGGTTTCACTGGTAAAAATAAATAATTGAAATGGGTATATATTTGTTTTTTGTTAAGTTGCCTAATAATTATGCACAGTAATAGTCACCTGCACACACAGATATCCCCCTAAAATAGCTAAAACTAAAAACTACTTCCAAAAACATTCAGCTTTGATATTAATGAGTTTTTTGGGTTCATTGAGAACATGGTTGTTGTTCAATAATAAAATTATTCCTCAAAAATACAATTTGCCTAATAATTCTGCACTCCCTGTATGTGTAATGCAGACTAGAGTCGAACCCTCAGCCTTATAATTGGTAGATGCTAGCTGTGTTTCCATAAAAAGCCCAGGTTGTAACTGATCTCAAAGGAGTGAAAGCTCAACCTAAATCATCAGTAGAAAAGCTGCTGACACACCCATATAACATAGAGAACCACAGCCTTCAATGAGTATGAAATAAGCACAGCTTTCAGCAACAATTGCCAACTGTGGCCACAAGATGGAGGCAATATAAAGGATGGAGGTGAACAGATGAGGAGCTGAAAGGAGAGATCAATTTACTTTGGTACATTTCAATTTATGTACATCTTTAGGTTTGTCTTGATGGAATGCCATTGCCTTGGTGGGTGGCTGTTAGTTCGGAGGTTATCTACCAATCGGAAGGTTGTTTGATCACTTGCTGCTCCGGTCTGAAGAAAGCAGAAAAAAGTGCTTGTATGAATGGGTGAATGAGGCAAGATGTAAGAGCGCTTTGAGTGCTCTGGTAGAATACCTCCGCTCTATTTATGATTCTAAAAAACTCACAATGAGGCATAAAAAAAGGCAAATGAAGAAGGTTGGTGTGCAAAGTATCTGGCAGAGTAGCATATAAAGGCTCAAGCAGCTTACACAGCATATGAGATTTTACTTATACAATCTGAGAGTTATCAGCTATAGATATATATAATGTCAAAGGTCTTCCAAAACATTAGAAAAAAATGTGTCCAGGGGTTTGGAAGTATGCAGTAATGCATACAGAAAATTTACTTAAAAATCAGAATGGTGTCAACTTCTTTAGGACTCCATTTCCACAGAGATGCAGGCAACTGCACACAGCAATAAGTGGGTTATCAAAAGGATCCCTTACCTTTTACTACAATTTGGATTTGCATGTCACTGGTCTGTCCTTGGATTAGAAAAGGAGTCTCCTCCAAAATATAATCAAAAAAGACGCAGAGTCCTGTTTGCAGGGTTTTCTGTGGTAGTATTAAGGATTTTATGTCCATATGTTGAACTTACCAACCCAGAGAGTGTGTCTCAGGACAATTACTGAAGTTCATTTACCTTTTTTGGTGATCACAGTTTCAAGCAACCCTTGTTGTATGGAGAAACTGATGGCGTGCATTGCTCAGGTGTAATTTTGGTCCATTCTTCCAGAAAACCAGTATTCAAATCCTGAAGGTTCAGTTGGCCCCTTCTATAAACTCTGAGCTGTAGAGAGCACAAAAGGGGCCAACTCAGCAACAGAAGTGGTTGGTTTTGCATAGTGCTTTTAGCAGTTCTAGTACTTTTAATTCCTTTCTCTGAAACCAATTGAGACTTTCTTTGGCTGTGTGTTTTGAGATTGTTGTTCTACCATGATCTTTGCCACTTTCAAAAAAGCTTCCTGTGCATGCAAATGTCTAAAAATATTTGTGAATTTCTCTCTCCGTCAAAGCATCCAAATCATCCAGATCCACAAATAGAGGATGCGTTAAAGCGCCAGTGTAAAGCTGGGGCATGTGGGCTTCCACTTGCGTTACCTATACGAAAACAGAACTTTTAGTTTCAAAGGAAAAGCAGAGATTTGAAAATCTATAAACTCTCTACAATACTGAATACATGCTAACAAATGATTATGGGCATATGGCTTAAAAAAGGTACTGGGTAATGGTGTGGTAGTTTATCTGCTGGGGAAACCATAGACCAAGGGTTCCCAACTCCAGTCCTCAAGAGCTAATTTCCTGCAGCTTTTAGATGCAGCATTACTCCAACACAGCTGGATCAAATGGTTAAATTCAGCATGTCATCAAGGTTGGGGTTAGAGAGATGAAGGAGCAACCTCGGGGAATTAGGTGGATGGTGAAATTCAGGTGACCTAACAGTGAAAGCAGATACCATTTAGAGATAGAAGTGAGAAAGAGAAACGTGAATTCCTTTGCAGATGCCAACATGAAGCTCTCGGGAATCCTGGCTGTGCTTTTGCTCGTCTATACTGAACGGAGCGGTTTCAGGATGTGTCATCCCAAACTGGCCTGTCGCTACCCTCCCTCCCAGTGGTGTAGGTCCCTGGAAATAGCGATAGAATGCAGGGTGGAGAAACAGTGTATGGAGGTTAATGCTACCAGGTCAAACCAGGCTGTCCCTGGAGTATCTGTCACACTGTACTATGAGAGTCTGTGTCCAGACTGCAGAGAATTTATCACTCAGCAGCTTTTCCCCACCTGGACAATGCTGCAGGACATCATGGCTGTCACACTGGTGCCCTATGGGAATGCTAAGGAGCTTCGCTCAGCAAACTCTCCCTTCACCTGTCAGCACGGAGAGTCTGAATGCAGAGGAAACATGATCGAGGCCTGCATCCTCCATTTAACCGAACACTCTCTTGCATTTCACATCATCTACTGCATGGAGTCATCTGCAGATGTTCTGAGCGCTGTGCAGTCTTGTCTCCGGCTGTATGCTCCCTCTGTGCCCTGGTCCAGAGTTGACTCGTGTGTCAAAGGAGATCTGGGATACCAGCTGATGCGTGCCAACGCTCTTATGACCAGAGCCCTGAACCCTGCACACACACATGTGCCCTGGATAACCTTCAATGGGGAATACACAGAAGAGAATGAAGACAAAGCAATGTCATCCCTTTTCCAACTGGTTTGTCATCTCTACAAGGGGGTGAAACCTGCAGCCTGCACTGGAGCTCCCGTCCGGCTTGACAGAAGCTTCTGCTGAACATGAAAAATAAAGTTATATGTCAGTCCTACAGGCAAACAGCCAAATGTGACACGTTAAATTAGCCATACTAATGATTAATTTGTATCAGTGTTGTCGTTAATACTATGAAAATGTAAGCATATAGAGTATTATAACTTTCTTGTTTAACAGAGCAGATAACTAAGTTGTCTCTTAATTCCAATATATTTTATAATAACAAATGCAGCCAAACACAGGATAAAAATTTCCATATAATTTATTGGCATTTTCCACTTAAAACACCCTGAACTCCCAAGACTCTTTTGGCTTAAAATGTGAAACAAAAATAGATTTAATTTCTCTGACAAAAACATCGGAGTGGCAGGTGGATACATACTTGTGAAGTATACTTGATTTTTAGGCTCCAGAACATAAAATCAGACATCCTATGTTACAGTACTTTGTATCGACAGACACATCTGAAGAATAAATATCTCTATAGAAGTTTGCACGACACAGAGGCTGAAAGAACAAGACTGCATGGATGTGGGTGGAGGCGGTGTCAGTGCAACACGGTCTCTGTGTAGAAGCGGGAACGCTCCCGCTCACCGACACAGATGGCGCTGTATGGCACTGACGTGTTCCTGCAAAGATCCCTGGTGCTGAGTTTAACCTGCTGTAACTCCTCAGACTGTTCAGTGCTGAGCAAATTACACCTGCTGTCAGAAAACTGTTGCTGTATATCTACTTAAAGTATCACACAGGATAAAAATATGAGCTTTTAATTTGTTCATTTTTGTGGTACAATAAGAGAAAATAATGACTAACTGGAAACACATTATTTGTGTGCCAAAAAGAAGAAGAAAAAACAAAAAGAGAAAGAGAAATGACTCTATGTCCAAATAGATGCCACTGCAACAGAGATGAATGGGATGAAATATCTGTGAAATATCAAAAACTGTGGGTATCAAAAACTGAGCAATATCAGAAAAAATAAAACATTATAATGACAGATATTAGCCATAATGGTTACGTCAGCAATACACACAAATCACATTGCAAACACATGATGTTTTAGGGAAGCTCAAAGCATCTTTTTCGAAACTTCCTTCTATTAAAAGACACCATCAGCATTTGGGATGGAAGGCATGTGAGGAAACGCTTAGTTTAGTAAGTTTAGTGAGGAATGGGGCAAGAATACAATTCCTGCCTGTGAAATGTTAAATGAGGACAACAGATTTCACAGCGTAGTCAGATGAGGAGCTGTCGTGGTCTGTGGCTATCTGGCCTTTTTTCCCTTCATTATGTATGAAGACATCATGTGTCTCCTCAGGAAGAGAGAACGTCTTTATCATCCAAATTTACCAAATCCATAAAAAAAATGGATGACCAGCATTGAATGTCACAACTAAAATGTTTCATATCCTGACATTGCAGTGCGATCTGCCTTTTTAAAGTTAGTGTGAGCTGTGTGGAACACACATGTATTTACAGTACAATTAATGTGAAAAAAAGTGAAATACATTTTTAAAACGGCACAGTTTTTCATAGTACATCTCAAGCCATTCATACTCCGTGTTCTAAATGATGGTGCAGTGGTAAAAATATTATTGTGTTTTAGATAAAATAAAGGTGAGATTCAGTTATTTTTGAGTGCGGTCAAATGTCAAATATGGGGTCAGGGAGACACACTTTAATCGGCCTTTTAGGCAGTCAACAGTTGTATGACTGCCTCAGAGTGTCGGCGGTCATACAACTGTTTCCAACTAAATCTAGTTGTTTGTCTTTAAGAAAATGAAGTGAGAGTTGCGCCTGTTCATCAACAAATAACACAGCACTTTCACATCAGACAACAAATACAATGTTAAAGAGACTCAATTAAAAGAAATACATAAATTCAAGTACAGGTGCTTCATTAACTGACAATGTTTCATTAATGTAAACAAATTTATTTACACTTGAGGTGTATATTATTATTATTATTATTATTATTATTATTATTATTATTATTAGTAGTAGTAGTAGTAGTAGTAGTAGTAGTAGTAGTAGTAGTAGTAGTATATTATAATATTGTTATAATTGTTGCAGCCACATGACATTACTGGTCTTGTTCAAAGAGCCTTGTGTTGATGCCTGCATGTAACCTGTCTTTCTGTCTGTATCAAGAAGTTGTCTAAATTATTTTGTTGAAATGAAATATATTTTGGAAAAAGAATATCTGATTCTAAAGTGAGGCAACTTTAATTATAATGGCAAGCAAAAACTAAAAGAGCTTTTTCTTATCCTTTTTATTTTAACTAGGTCTTCCAAACTGGAAATGTACTCTCAGAAGTGGCCTTGTATCTTTTAGACTGTATGTCAGCAGAAAAATAACCGGATAGTTGGTTTTGAACAATAGCTGTAGTCTCAGAAACACTGCCCAATCCTGTTTCCTCCTCTTAAAGAACATTTCCACATACAAGTACTGCCGAACAGAAGTGACCTTAAAAGACACATCCTCAATAATATAAGAATTAATTGTTTAAGTGACTTCTTAATATAAAAAGCCCTTAAACAATAACAATAAGACAATAACTTCTATCCTGTTTTTCATGTGTATCTGTGACATTTCATTTCAGTATTTGAGCACCATCTTTTGTAATACCTCTTCAATGGGTTTTGCATCCTGTTCAAATGTCTTCCTCAATCTTTAATTACTTCCATTTCCCTTTCCCATACCAATTGTTTTATTTATTTATTTATAAGTCCCTGATAGCCCTGTGACAGACTGACAACCTGTCCAGGGTGTATCCTGCCTATCGCCCTATGGTGGCTGGGATAGGTTCCAGCCACCCTGCGACCCTGAGTTGGATAAAGAAAATGGAATGATGGAAGTTCCCGATGTTTTCCACAAGATATCTGGTGAAACAACCCTGAACTATCAATTTGTTAAGTGTGAGGTCTTTAGTCATTTCCTCGTCCAAATTCTTAATTTTTCCAGAAGCACACTAAGAGTTACACCTTGAAGAGTTACACCTTTGTTGTAGTTTGCTGCTATAAAATTCTTTTACTTCCAATATAAAATTATCATTCTGGCTATTTTATTGTAATAAAACTACAACACTTCCATAATAAAGTTAAACGTTAACACTTACATTTGCTAGCTGGTTGACACGTAAATTAGTGTCCCCCATCAGAGTCAGAAAGGAAGATAAAACAGATTATACCTAATAATGAGACTGACAAGCCTGTGATAACATGAGCAGTATCAGTTTCACAGTCTGACTGCTCTTCATGTCCATTCTCAAAGCACCAGCATGGCAAGAGCAATAAAAGTCAACTTGAGCTTGACAAATGGACTTCAGGAACCAAAAACCGATGACTATGTATCTTTTACATACAGTGCATCCGGAAAGTATTCACAGCGCTTCATTTGTTCCACATTTTGTCATATTACAGCGTTATTCCAAAATGGATTAAATTAATTGTAACCTTAAAATATTAGACACAGTACGCCATAGGGACAACGTGAAAATATTTGCTTAAAAACTCATTTAATAAATATGTTTATTTAATAAACAAACCAAAAAAGTATTCTAAAAAGTACATAAGTATTCACAGCCTTTTCCATGATACTAAGAATTAAGCTCAGGTGCATCCTGATTCCACTAATCACCTAGCGTAAAATGTTACGCTTTGGGAGTGAGAACGTGTTGAATCATCTGTCCGATGTTTCTACAACTTGATTGGAGTCCATCTCTGGTAATTTCAGTTGACTTGACATCATTTGGAAAGGCATAAACTGGTCCATCAGTTGACAGTGCATGTCAAAGGACTAACCAAGCCATGAAGCCCAAAGAATTGCCTGTAGATGTCCAGGACAGGTTTGTATCAAGGCACAGATCTGGGGAAGGGTACAGAAAAAATTCTGCAGCATTGAGGGTCCCAATGAGCACATCGTTTTACGTTATCCATCAATGGATGATGTAGCTCCTCAGTAAAAGCACTTTGAGGTGAGTGTTATTGTGATTTGGTGCTATGTAAGTAAAATTTAATTGAACTGAAATACAAGGTACACGACAGCCTGCCTGGAGTTTGCCTAAAGGAACCTGAAAGGCTCTTAGACATAAGAAACAAAATTCTCTGGTCTGATGAACCAAACATTGAACTCTTTGACCTGAATACCAAACGTCATGCCTGAAGAAAACCAAGCACAGCAGCATTATGCCTTGGGAATGTTTTTCAGCAGCAGGAACGATGAGGGGAAAGATGAATGCAGCAATGCATAGCATTATGCTTGATACAACTTGCTCCAGAGCGCTTGGACTAAGGCAAAGGGTTATATTCCAACAGGACAATGATCCTAAGCACATAGCCAAGATAACAAAGGAGTGGCTTTGGGGCCACTCTGTGAATGTCCTTTAGTGGCCAAGCCAGATGCTAGACTTGAACCTGATTTAACATATCAGGAGAAATCTGAAAACCAGTGCCCTCCATCCAACTTGATGGAGCTTGCTTGACAAGTGCTACAAAAAAGAATGTGAGAAACTGCCCAAAAATAGGTGTGCCAAACTTGTAGCATCATACTCAAAAAATACTTGTTGCTGTAATTGCTGCCAAAGGTGCTAGCAATGAGCCTAGGCTTTGAATACTTATGTACATGTTAGGGGTGGCTGTAGCTCAGGAGGCAGAGCAGGTCAATCCCTGGTTGCTCCAGTCTAATATCCTTGGGCAACATACTAACCCCAAATTGCTCTCCTATGTGTTCATCAGCGTATGAATGTGTGTGAATGTTAGATAGAAAGAACTTATGTAGAAAACACACAGAAAAAAGAGTATTGTATGTGTAAGTATGTATGAGGCAAGTTGTATAAAGCACTTAGAGTGCTCAGATATCATAGTAAAGTAGTATATGGGAACCAGTCCATTTAACATGTTATATATTCTTTTCTTTTTAATAAAATTGCAAGAATTACAAACTTCAACTTTTTTCATTTGTCACTAGGGTAGAGTATTTTTTGCAGAATTGTGAGGTGAAATGGATTTAAACTATTTTGGAACAAGGCTGCAACATGGAAAAATGTGGAATGTGAAGTGCTGTCAATACTTTTGGGATGCACGGTATTTTTTGCATTTTTTTCCATATATTTTTTGTAGTTCTCTTAAAGTAGTGAAGATGTGCATATACAAGGAGGGGTGTGGTCTAAACTCAAGCTGTTCACTCAACTGCTATTTCCTTTGAATACATCACTACCAGTGGCTCGGCTTTAAAACACCACACACTCATTCAGCCTGTTGGCTTGCAGACTCAGAGGCAAGAGGAGCAAAACAGTGTCTTCTTTTATTATCAGACACCACTGATCATTGCTAAGAAGCAACCATGGCCATCAATAAATCCAAAGTAGCTGTTGGATTTATAGTGGCAGGCGGTCTGACTTTGATTTTTGGGGCAATTTCTGTAATTGTGGGACCAACAGTAATAAGCAACCAAGTTGTGAAGGTAAGTATTATCGTTATGTGAATACTTCAGAGTTTTATAATCAGGTTGCTCTGTTTATTTCCTGTTCCATTTTAATTTCTTTGTCTTTTTTCTTTTGCTTAAGCGAATATAAATTCTTGTTTTTCTTTATTTTGCATAAAGGCAAAGCTTCATCACAAAAGATTTAGTTAGACTCATTCAGGTTGACATTTGCAGGTATAGCAACCATCTTATTGTATATGGAGTGTTTAAATAGCTTATCTATTATCTACAAAGAGCACTTGTCTTTGACTAGCTATTTATTGTGTCAGGTATTTGCATATATAGTCTGTTTACTCCTATTAACATTTTATTTAACAAAAAAATAAAATACCAATGTTTCACCAATGATGAACCAATGATTCCAAGCATGAAGGTTGCAGACATCATGGCACTGACTTCTGATCTGTTAGCTGAATGTTCACATGTCCAGACTACAGTTATCTATTTTAGATACACATATGTGCAGGTATATGTGTATGTATATGTATACATATGTATATTTAGTGTGTACATGTGTGTGTGTCTGTGTGCGTATACATGTCTATACTTATAGATACTTATAGATATCTATTACTTACATAGTAATAGTAGCAGTAGAAGAGTTAAATTTCTTGCATATTTCAGGAACCCTCTATCCATAATCACATACTGTGTATGCTACCGTTGTATATAGTGTATTATCCTCCTTATTTTGTATTTGTTTGTATTTTATTTGTATTTTTGTATTTTTCTCCTGCTATTTGTACCTGAGCTGAGGTAGTGCACAAATTTCCCCGCCATGGGATCAATAAAGTCTTATCTTATCTTATCTTATCTTATCTTATCTTATCTTATCTTATCTTATCTTATCTTATCTTATCTTATCTAGATGCAATGATATTTCCAGTAAAACCTCTGAAAACGAAACAAAGGAGGCTCTTAAGTGTTCTTAAAAACTGCTTCAAACACGTTCTTATATCTGGACCCACTGCTTTATCTAAATGAGGCAGAAATCTTTTTGGCAGGAGATTGAACCTCATGTGAGCTTTTATAGACCATCCATTCATCCATTCTCTTCCGCTTATCCAACTCAGGTCAGGGTCGCAGGGTCGCTCGAGCCTGTCCCAGCTTCCATAGGGTGAGAAGCAGGGTACACTCTGCACAGGTTGCCAGCCTAACACATAAAAACAGCATCTGGTATTCCCGTGCGGTATCCCATCCATGTGCTGTCCAGGCCCGACGCTGCTTAATATTCAGGATAAGCTATAAGCCATAGCACCCCGTTGCCTCACAGCAGGAAGGTCCTGAGTTTGGTTAATAAAAAAAATCCCCAAATGCAATACTTGATCTGAATATTAAAATTTTAACATTAAAGTAGAATTATAGATGAAAGGTGGCAAAAATATTTTTCCTTGAAGAATATCAAATAAATCAGAATAAAAGTATGTAACCACAGACTGTCTTTGAAATTGGACTTGAATGGTACAATAATATGGTTACTTCCGGCGCCCCTCTTGTGTGGCAGCCTGTTACAGGAGCTCTGCTCATTTCTGAGCCCTTTCCTATTTTCCTCCTTTAATACTAAAGTAAATTTAAGAATACACTATGCCTACAGCATACCAAAAGCTCTTGCCACTTGGGAGATATCTTGAAAGATCGGGCAGTTACTTAATCTTTTACTTATGGCCCGATATAGAGAGCGGGAACTCCATTTCCCAGAATCCTCGGTAGGCGTGTCAAACAGAGCAAATACAGCGACAATAAAAGCAGGTCAGAACATCATCGATTAGAGAGATGAGCGACCCGCAGAGATCTCAGAGGAATGTACGTTTAATTATAAGTTTTGTTTCATGCCGAGACTCTGGTGGAGTCATTAAGCTGACTCCGTTTATCTTTACCGACAAAAAGTGCGGACACGGACAAAACAAAGCTACGAAGACTCACTGACAGCCTGTCAATATGGCAATTAAACGACCTAAAGTTGCTATTGGATTCATAGTGGCAGGTGTGCTGATGGTGCTTTTCGGCACAATTATGTGTTTTGTGGTGCCATTAGTCATCGACGACCAAATAGTAAAGGTAAGAAACGTCCTGACACGGATAGTTAGCATGTTTTACACATGTGCTTGTATGTGCTGAGTCAAGCAAGATTCACCTTTAATCGTACCCGAGGACTTAAGTACTTCAAAGAGCCTCCAGAGTTAACCAGTAAATGATAACAGGCGCGTGCAGATAAGCTAATCAGTAAATGCATGTAGTCAGATTAAGTAACAATGCTAATAGCTCCGGAAAAACTTTCTGAGGCTTTTAAAGAGTCAAGCATGCCCAATGTTAGTAAAATGATTTGATTAACTAACTAAACTATTATTGGTAATGTCATTTATTTCCATATTAAAAATCACAACAGGCGGAGGTTTTTCAACTTTCCTTTCACTCAATATATCCCAGTAAAACGATACAAGTAATATTATTATTTAAATAATGTGCAGAACAGGAAAAAATACGTGCAAAAGTATTGCCTACTTCCTTAGTTTGCTTTATTTCTGTTGTCAGTTTACAGTGCTGCTTTTTCCCGTTAGCAGCGAACTCTGTAAGTTGTAGTTGGTTCCCTTTTGAGTTGAACTTTGTAGTTGGGGCACATGCAGACACGCTGTCATCCTACCCTGTTTGAGCTAAATATGAGGCTACAAAACATAAACATGGTGAGAAATACAGCATTTCTACATACCAGGTGTTTGAACTGTACTGCACTATCAAAGACTGGATGTATTTAATAATTTTATTTTCATTTTTCACATAGAAAAATCCAGAAAGCATAGTTACATAGTGTTTTTACTTTCTAACTAATCACTCAACGTGCTCAATTTAGTAATTGCATAAGGAGCACCACAAAGAAGTATTCTTAAAAGGAATAGATTCATATCATATTTGTAGGAACATTTGTGACTATAACAAACCTAAATGTAAATAATAGATTAAAATCGGAATGAAATATAATGTTGTGTAACTTTTAAGATGATGAACCACAATCTCAGGATTTGGGACCTTTTAGGTAAATAAATTAAAATAAGAAAAAAGTAATTTGAAGGTGTCCCCTTGAATTTAGTTTTTTTTTTTTCTCTCTATTAGTTTGTGAAAATGTATAAAAACCTTAATGAAGAAATGCTCATTCTTTTGCTTTTGTTTTTTTTCCTCTCTTTCACATCAGCACACAGTAATTGATCCAAAGAATGATCTCACATACACCATGTGGAAAGACATCCCTGTGCCGTTCTTTATGTCAGTCTACTTCTTCAATGTCCTCAATCCTGCTGAGATACTGAAAGGAGAAAAGCCGATGGTGGAACAGAGAGGACCTTATGTTTACAGGTACACAATTTATCTCCTGAGGACTTGTGCTCAACCTTAACTATCAGTTAAAAACTTTAAATTGTTGGATACTTAAACTTCAATGAAGTTTGCTCCAGTGAAACTCCAAATGGACTTATTTTTTTGTAATAAAGTTAGATTCATAAAATTAATAATTTATTAATAAATTAGAAATTTTATTAATGGTATAATATGGTATAATATGTCCCAGAAAGCTCCTGTTTATAAAAAATGTAAAAAAATTAAAGATCCATTTTACTGGAAGGAACTTCATTGGTAAACTGGAGCTAAGTAAATGGCCTGTATTTATATAGCGCTTTTCTAGTCCGTAAGGACCCCAAAGCGCTTTACACATCCAGTCATCCACCCATTCACACACACATTCACACACTGGTGATGGCAAGCTACATTGTAGCCACAGCCACCCAGGGGCGCACTGACAGAGGCGAGGCTGCCGAACACTGGCACCACCGGGCCCTCTGACCACCACCAGTAGGCAATGAGTGAAGTGTCTTGCCCAAGGACACAACGACCGAGACTGTCCGAGCCGGGGCTCAAACCGGCAACCTTCCGATTACAAGGCGAACTCCCAACTCTTGAGCCACGATCGCCCTTGACTATGATTATGATAGCATAGTGTACGTTGGCTAGATGACGCTGGGTCGAAGGTTGTTGTACAGGTTATTATGAAACTAGACTCAGTCAGTGCTCCAGCTGTTCATGTTTTGTGCATTGTTTCTGGATTTGAAATCTTTCTAGCTATTTTACTAATTCACGATATTGTTAATTTTGTGCATTAAGTAGACCTTGAGTGTTTTTAAAGACACCAGCAAAAGAAATGTATTATTAATGTCATTAATAGTGACTGCTTAACTGCTTTCTACAGACTTATTACTGTTCTAGGAGTTTACATCCTTTGCTACAATTTAAAACAAAAAAACAAACGCATTTTTTTTGTTTTAGATTGCAACAGGATCTCTTTTACAACTTCATCTTAAATAATCAATTTTTGCTCCTTTTTGCCTTTTAAGAAACTGGTTGAGGAATCGGTGGTTCGATATTAATTGCAACTATTGTCACCTACAGATCTCGTTGAATGCCATTCATCAGTATAACAGATAACATTAAACTTAAGCCTAACCCAATTTAACCAAAACTTAATCTTTTTCTTCTAAACCTAGAACGTAGAAGTGAAAACTAATTTTAGAAGTGTAAACAATTTTAAACAAGTGTTATAAGCGTGAGCTACAATTTATATCCGTCCAAAAGGTGTTTAAGAATTAATTTTTTTTTTTTTTTAAATATATGGCTAAACTTTTTTTTTTTTTTTAACATATTGTAATATGACAGTGAGCATGTTTCAGTCCAAAGTTTTGGTCATGTCCACAAGAGCATGTGTTCACCTTTTGGGATTTGAAAGGGGGGGGGAGAGGAAGCATTCTGGAAGGATGTGATTCTTATTTAAAGGAGAGAGGTTGCAAATGGTAGACCACTTCAGACTTTTCTATTGAAAACAACTATCAGGACATTCCAGAAATAAATTAAAATGATTTGGCTGCAACAACCTGAGACACCAGAAGAGCTTTTTATTTTTTATGGTTTGTTTTCTTTTCTGTGTCTGATGTTTTAAGGTCTGTCAATTTTTGACTTTCTCAGTCCACGAGGGCCGGTATCCCTGCAGGTTTTAGATCTCACCCTGGGTCAACACACCTGAATCACATGATTAGCTCATTACCGGGCCTCTGGAGAACTTCAAGACATGTTGAGAAGGTAATTTATCCATTTAAATCAGCTGTGATGGATCAAGGAGACATCTAAAACCTGCAGGGACACCGGCCCTCGTGGACTGAGATTGGGGACCCCTGCATTAAACCCTTAAGATGTGTGTACAGAGGTGGACTTGAAGCACAGGTTTTGAGTGGACATATTACCTTTCTTCCAGAAAGCAGTGTCAGAAGGAAAACATTACATTCCATCCCAACGGTACAGTGTCCTACAGGGAATACAGACAGTACCACTTCGAGCCCTCCATGTCTGCTGGGAACGAGTCTGATGTTGTCACAATTCCAAACATGTTGGTGTTGGTAAGACATTGTTGCCACCTCCTCACTTCTTGATTGGTTCAATAATTTCCTCAGTTTTCTGCTTTTTCACAGCCTGTGGCTTCTGTAATTTTAGGGTGCATCAGTGATGATGGAAAACTTGCCCTATGTACTGCGCCTCATGATGAGTGCAACCTTTAAAACTTTTAAAGAAGGTCCCTTCCTGACCAAGCCTGTAGGGGAGCTTATGTGGGGTTATGACAGTGGACTGGTGGATTTTCTAAATCAATACCTGCCAGGAATGATTCCCACATCAGGAAAATTCGGCCTCTTTTCAGAAGTAAGTATTAGAAATGCTTCGTTATCCTCTCTATCTGATTACTATGAGCATAATAGGTTCAGTTTAAGGAACAGATTTGTCTCTTGCATGAAATTTCTTTGAGCAGGTAAAGAAAGGTGTCTGCCTTTTATGCTTTCTTTAGTTCAACAACTCCAACACTGGCCTGTTCACAGTCTTTACTGGAAAAGATGACATTAGAAAAGTCCACAGAGTCGACTCTTGGAATGGTCTGACCGAGGTATGATGCCAGCAGATTGTGTTTTGTTGCTGTTGGTTTTTTTTGTTTTTTTCCTTCCCCTCACACCACTGTAACTGGCCTCTTTCTCTTTGGTGACAGCTGCCATACTGGAGGACTGCTCAGTCTAACATGATCAATGGAACAGCTGGGCAGATGTGGCCTCCTTTCATGACGAAAGAGAGCACTTTGCCTTTCTACAGCCCTGACGCGTGCAGGTAAAATGCTTTGCAGAATTGTACTTTTTTTCCCCCTCAGTTCTGCCTCTCCCATTATTCCTTCATATATTTACCCATTGTTTTTCCAGGTCTATGGAGCTGGTTTATCAGCGTCCTGGAGAGATGAAGGGGATCCCTCTATATCGATATGTTGCACCCAAGACCCTTTTTGCCAATGGGACGGATTATGCTCCCAATGAAGGCTTCTGCCCCTGTAGACAGTCTGGACTCCTCAATGTTAGCAGTTGCCGCCACAGTGAGTAATGATGATGATCAGTGTAGGCGAAATAAATATTCAGTCCATCACAGCATTCCCAGAGGTTATTAGAAAGACCTACCACTACCCATTTCTTTAGATTTTGAAAAAAAATATATAAAATGTGTACGATAGTTTTTGAAGTCTGGGGTGTTGAAATCCCAAATTTAGATTCATCACTCCATGAAACCTGTTGCCACTGATTTTCAGACAGCTCATGGTCCAGATGTATTTCTTAGGTCCCATGTAAGGTCTTTGCTGGATTTTCCCCCCCTATTTCATGGGGGCATGACTTTCAGATAATGATCGTCTGCTGTCGAGTCTTTTTTTGTTCTTCTTTTTTTTTAAACCCTGATATTTTTTTTTCTTATTTTGTCCTGTCCAGTTTCCTTTATAGGAACTCACTACACTCAAGTTAGTATGCCAAGGCTTATTAACTTTTCAGTTAATACCACTTTGTGAATCACCTTGATGGCACAAAACTATGCACTGATAAAAATGCTAGACCTTTTGGAATTTTTCATAGATTCATCTAAAGAAATTTCTGGAACAATTTATGTTATTTTTTTATTTTTTTTCACAGGCTCTTGGTAATAAAATTCTTAAAGATAGAATTTTAAAAAGAACGCAAAAATTTATTTATTTTTTGTCCACGAAAATAAAAACTGCCAGTTTTGAAACCCGAGGCAACAAGGGAAATGGCTACCAAAAACAACGCTGTGGTCCCGGAATCTGATCTAGCAGCAGGTGTATATAGTTGCCTTCACATCCACCTTCGTTGTAGCCTTTATGTCACATACTCATTATATCGCAGGACGCTCAGCTGCGTTGCTATTATGATGGCCACGCACATTCGGTGGTACTCGATTGTAGTTGAAAATAGTCGATAAGAGCAGGTACTAATGGAAAAGGGGCTAAAGCTAATCGTTCTGTTGTGCTTCAAAACAGTGTTACAACCATGTGAGCTGGCTTTTTCTGGTGGTTCTCAACAATTGGAGCAATTTCAAGCATTTTCATGCAAGGTTAGGCATTGCATGAAAATGCCTAAAAACCTAATAAGTTTCCAAAAATTATTGTCCCTTTGGCTAACGCTGCTGAAATATTGTTCATTTACTCTTGCCTCATATTGTAAGGTAAAGACCCCACAATAATACAAAGAAAACCCCAAAATCAACTTGTGATTGCCGTGTTCACATCTTCACAAACAAACCACACCAAGTGGGAAAACAAACCAATTTCATTGAAACAGGCTAAACAACACCACAGGTGTGGAAAAAATCCTTAACTAAACCAATGCGATCTTAGAGATATGGCAGGGATTGCCAACAAGCCATGAGTTGTGAGTGTACTTGATAGATTTTTTTCTTTTTTCAATGGTCCAGTTAATTAATGTTGCCATTCTTTGAACATTTTAGACTCTCCAGTCTTCATCTCTCATCCTCACTTCTTTAATGCTGATCCTGTGCTGCTGGACTACGTGCAGGGTCTTAATCCCAGTGAGGAGAAGCACGGCCTCTTCATAGACATTCACCCAGTGAGTATACAGCACACACACCACAGTGTGTACAGTTGGTCATCATAATTTTGATTCAAAGCTCATAGGTTAGCAATGTTTTCTATTGATGCAGTAGTTATTTGTGGGCTTTTTTTTGTTTCTCTTTGTTCTGTTTTTTAAACTCATCTCTTCCCATTGCTTATTAGAAATGGTGTGTATATACTTAATTTATGCTTTCATGTTACTGTGAAGACTCCAACTTAAGCTGCAACTCTTTTTAAATTTGATTTTATTTTGGAACAGACCCACTTGCAAGACTCGCAAGTGAAAGTGCATTTGTGATCAATGAAAAGTGTGTAACATTTTGTAACTGGCTTGTATTTAAAATGAATGTCATTAGTCTGCAATATTGTTGTAAGGATATTAGAAGTCAGCCCCATTGTCCTTGAAACCTGCTGTGATCATGAGTGTAGCTGGACTCTTGCATATCATAGACCTTCTGTTATTTGTCAAGTTTTATGGCACAGAGAGAAGCATGTAGGGTGCATTTTGACCTATAAGAGGCCATCCTGATGGCAAATTTGTGGAAGAATTTAGTTAAAGGTTGTATCGTACCATTATCACTTACATCCAACTGTTTTTGTTCTTTTCTACAATACAAGACCAAGTCTGTCACCTTCTCAGTCTTCCTCAAACACTTAAAGTTAGTTTCCTTATCACATTGCAATCATTCAGTCATCACTAATGCAAAATAGCAGTGATAAAGCGGTAAGCTAAGGGGATGAGGTTTAAAGTTAATGTTTATTTTTCTGGATGGTAAAGCAATAGGGAAATTGATATGTAGTTTTATTACTGTACAGTCACGCAGTAACCTGTGTGCTACAGTACAGAAAAAGCCAATGACTGATAAGACTAAAAAGATATTCCCATGTGTCATTCCTTATGCAACTCTGCCTGTGTAAAAATCACATGCAGTGTTTTTAGTGATAGCTGTGGTTGTGATAAGGTAATTGGAAATTTGATTATTTCTCCATGTTATCTATTGCTTCAATAAAATAAAAAAATCTCAGTTGATACAGAAATGATTTTTGCTTCATAGATTAAACCTTACAACATTGTTCAGTCAATTCCATCAAGCCCACGTTGATATCGAGTTAATGATAAAGGGACATCAGTCGGCATGGGGTTCCATTAAGTATAGTGTTTAGTTTTTTGTTTTTTTTGGTTTGTTTTTTTGTTGTGACTAAGAGTGTAAGTTTTGAAAACAAGAAACGGTACTTTCTTCATCTAAAGATGAATTTATATAAGAACAAAGACATTTATAGGCCATCTTCTGGGCTAAGACTGCGGTTTACTGGTAAAGTAGATCGGGAAAGGCAATACTGCACCTGTGAAGAGTCACTCTTTACTTAAGGCCCCATGTTATTTAAGAGCAAAGATAGTGATTTGATAAACATACAAAAAGTTATTTATTAAAATATCTTAATGAAAAAACAATTAACAGTATATTGACAGGCAAAGAAGTCTGCAAGAGCTTGAAGTCTGCATTTTCACTGCTGAGTGATTCTCATGATTTGTGAGGTTTTGCTCAATTTGATGGATTCATTAGATAATTTGCATTTGTCACCATTTGCTGATGCTGATTACATTTTAATCAAAGACATAATTGAACTCTTCCTTATTAGAAAATATTGTTTTTATAATTTTGTAAGAAAATGACATAATAGTTTACAATAAACAAAAATGAGCATTTAATAAAACTAACTCTAAAGCATGTTTTCACTTTAAAAAAGTATGTTTTTCTTTATTACTGATGAGAGATTTTTGCAAATCAGATTTTTATTTCATTCATTATGAAAAGATATACACATTTTTACATTTGAAGTCATTTACGCATTAAGTTATTATAATCAACTTTTAAAAATTGCATTGCCTTTAACCTTTATTGCTAATGTTAAATGTTGAGTTTGCTAAAACACTGCCACTGGTACAGTTTGTTCTTGAATTCCTAATACAGTCTTTTTTCTATAACGGTCATTAAGATAAGGTAATTGGAAATTGGGCTATTCCTGTATAACTGCTGTTGTTTGTCAGTTAAAGGGTTATTAAAAACGTTCTATGATGCCAATAAAAAGTCAGTATTGATAGTGAAAGAGTTTTTACTGTCCGGATAAAAGCTCACAAGATGTTCAGTGGATTTCAGCAGGGCAACATTCACACTTAAGTTAATAATTAAGAAACATCAGATGGCTTGGGAATTTTATGGCTCTATCATACGATGGAGCCAAGTATCCTGACTCTTGAACATGGCACTGAGGACACTGGTTTTATCTCTTAGTTTTCTTCTCTTTCTCTCAGTGCCAGAAATTTGAATCTTTTTGGTACATTTAGTTTGTGCTGACATAAAATATCAAGGAAATGATAGGGAACTCGTGTGTGTGTGTGTGGTATTTTTACCAAAGTAAATGAGACACATGACTTGACTTGACACTATAACTTGAGCATTACAATAAAATGTATGGCACTCATTTCTGTCATACATGTATATTATGCACATTTTTCTTTTAGATCTTCTGTTCTGTTTTGGCTCTGCCAACAGCTGCATTCCTATTGTCTATCCTCAGCTGTCGTCTTTCTCCTGCCTTCAGCCCATATTAACTTTTTATCAGAGCCACATGTCTGGAAGTGAACTTTGTAGTTTGTTTTATGGACACATTGAGCTAAAATCTCTTGGAAAAAATGTCAATAAAAGATGAGAGAATTGTGTACAGCAGTAGATTAAAATATTTTAAAAGTTTAGCTAACTCACAAAATGTAATAGAAAAGCTGGACCATATTTATTTATTTTGCTTTTCAAAGCTGATTCGCTACAAATCACTGCAATCTGTCAGCTGTGCTGTTGAGCTAATTGTATTACACTTCTTTTAGTGAGGAGACTTTTTTTCAGTGTGTATAGAACTATGGATTTTTTTTTTTTAAAGTGTAGCAGACATGTTTTCTCCTTTCAAGCACGTCTTTTCATGTAGAGTAAAGCAAGTCTGTGCCCAGGCTACATGTAATTTCCTGTGGGTTCAAAAAGTAAATGGTTGCTTTCAGCTTCAGGTTACTATGCAAAATGTCCTGTACTGGAAATGGCTTGTAGGCTCACCCACATTGAGTTCAGCAAAGCTTTTAAAGTTAAAATCACTTGAGGCCATTTTGTAGAGATAAAAAAAATAAATAATATGAAGCTAAAAGTGAACAGCAGTTATGTGCATCCTCCCTCAGATGAACCAGTCAAACAGAACATTTCCTCCTTGAGTTTATTGTTAAAATTATATGTGACCATATCTTTAATTGCTACCTGGAGATTTGCATGTTCCAGCACATTTATGGTGTTTGAGGTATAATTCCCTCCTTTTTTATTCCCAGTGTGAGATCTGTATATTTTTGTTGTCTACTTGCAGCAAACGGGTGTCCCTCTGAATGTGTCCATCCGCCTGCAGCTCAACCTCTACATGAAAAAAGTCTCAGGAATTACGTAAAGAACTATTCCCTTAACTACTATCACGCCAGAGACATTGTCATGTATTGTTTTATATGTTGTGATCATTAAATATGAAAGGGTCTTAGATATTTCCTGCCTTTCTTACCATTTGCTATGTAACCTTGGAGTGTAAAGTTGAATGTCCTTGTCCTTCTAGTGAAACTGGAAAGATTTCTGATGTGGTGATGCCTATGATCTGGTTTGAGGAGGTGAGTTATTAATGATATAGATGATGTAGTGTCTTTACATCTATTCTTCTGCAATTTTTTTTTTTTTGCACAAACAGATTAAAATTCTACAGAATGGTTCTGTGTGGATTAAAATGTTGTAAGTGTTTTATTTATCCTCTTCAGAACGGATATATTGATGGCCCAATCGTCAATACGTTCCGTACAAACTTGGTGGTTCTACCTACTGTTTTGGAATACCTACAGTACATCCTCATAGGGCTTGGTCTGGCAACCATCATCATCGCTGCTGTAGTGTATCGCAAAGTGAAGGTAAAGCTGCCACACAGGATTCAGGCCAGCATGTTATCTTGTTTAACTGCACGTTGCATTTTGTTATGTTTTTTTTTTATTTATTTTTTTTGTTTTTCTTCCCTACACCAATGAAAGAAAAGGAGTAGGGAAGCATGCCCTGAAGCTGCTCTCATTGAGTTTCAGGATTAAAATTTGTAAATTAGTCAATAAGTAAATAAACAGAGAAAAAGGTAAATTGGTAGTAATTAATAAAGTATCTCGATCAGTTGCACTCACTTCTGCTCCTTTCCTTGCATTCATGTGACAGAATCATTAACTTGGTATCTAACCCCCCCCTCCCCCGTGCGCCCCGACTGACTCGACATCGGGTCATGTTACTGTGGTAACCTCCATCACATTATTAGTATTATGGTCTGTTGATCTTCAAACTAATGCCATGCAAAATATCCGCTATGGCTTAATTAGGTGTGGCACAGTAAACGGTAGTGCTTGTAAGTAAGTAAATTTTTTTTTATATATAGCACATTTCTAGATAAAAGATCACAAAGTGCTTCACAAGGTATAAAACAGTCAAAAGTAAAAAAAAAATGCAATTTTAAAAAGATGTGTTTTTAGCTGTTTTTTAAAAGTAATCACTGAGTCTGCAGATCTTAAGTTCTGAGGAAGAGAATTCCACAGTCTGGCGGCCACAGTAGCAAAAGCTCTATCACCCTTGGTTTTCAGTCTTGTATACTGCATAACAAGTAGGCCCTGATCACAAGACCTCAGGGACCTACTAGGGGCCATAGGGCTGTAAAAGTTCAATGATGTACGCTGGTGCTTGTTCTTGAAGAGCCTTAAATGTCAGAACCAAAATCTTAAAATGGACTCTGAATTCAACGGGGAGCCAGTGCAGCTGTATAAGCAACGGTGTTACATGAGAGTATTTCGATGTTTTTGTCAGAAGCCTTGCTGCAGCATTTTGGACAATCTGCAGACGCTCCAGGGAGTTTTTGTTTAGACATGTAAACAGTGAATTACAGTAGTCCAATCGTGATGAAAGCATAAGGAAAAAAGTCTTGTTGAGTCATCATGTTATATTGTCTTTTGTTTTGTTTTTTTTAATAACAAAAGCAAAAACAAGTAGTTTTTGGATTTGATCGCACATGAAAAGGTAGGTATTGTATTGCCAGATATAAAGCTGCAGCTAATATTTATTTTTTGCTTGCCAATTAAATGTAGACATGGCAGTGTTATCTTACTATTCAACTGTCAGTATAAATTATCATTAATGACAAGCCCCCCCAATTTCTTCATATATTGTATATAAGTATTTATTTCTTATTTTACATTTAACAGTTTAGATAATTGTTTTCCCATTTTGTTAAGGTATGAAAATTGTCACTAGGCTTATGAGAGTCAAGAACGTAGTAGCAACACTGGCCCCAAAACTTTTGTTTGAGCCAAAGTGTACTTACTGAGAAGTTATTAAGTGAGTAGTGGCAGCTGTTAATATCAAACTTAATTTTTTATGTTGTTGTTAATTAATTTTTATTTATTTTGCAGCGGTCTAACTTAAATGTTTCACTGAGCTCCACATTTATCAAGAATGTTGGGGTGTGTAAAACCTTTCACTCATTCAAACCTAAATCGTTTTGCCAGATCAAATGATTATTTGATTTGAACTGTAGTAACTGAATTCATTTTTGGAGTTTTTAAAGACTGATTAGAGTGGAGGGGAAAATATGTGTGTTTTATATCCTGAAATTGGAGAGATTTCCTGCTTTCAGGTTTTTGTTATTAGCATGAAAGTACACACTGAATATAATGGTGTTAACAATCCAAATTTCTTGAAACATTATTGGTTTGAGGTTCTCTGATACGAATACTATGGTTTTGATTTTACAACCTACTTTTTTTTACTTGGATCTTGAAAAAAATCTTTGCATTTGATTTGATAGTTTTTATTAAATTATTATTATTTATAATTCAATGCTACATAAAATTAGAATGATAATCTTCCATGTAAACAAGCTGACAGTGTCCATTTTCATAAGTATCCGATCATTTTAAAAAGACTAACGTAACCAACTGCATGTCCCTTTGATTAATTGCATGGAAATCAAATTATCACCTCAAATGACTCCCTGCATGAATCCTTACAGTATCTCTCTACACAATCTCTAGCAGTCTAATATGAAAAACCCAAATGACTATCAAAATCCCGTTAGCAACCTTCTCTATTTCAATTTTCGGATTGGCTGATTTTTAAGGCAATTTGGTCATCTTTTAGGCAGCCGAGAAAGAGCCAGTAAAAGGCTCACATGGCCTTGAAACAAAGAAGAAAAGTATCAGTACTTCAGGTGGGTGCACACATGCAGGTGAACACATGTACCCTATAAAAGTATTGTTCATTTATGTTGAGAGTTTTTTAAAACCTAGAACACCTTGGCAATAAAAGCACATTTTCTACCTAGACTGAAAAGTTAACTCAAACTATTGTTTTCGACTGAGAGTATTTAGCCGTCCAGTTCAACCACCTTTTTAGGCTTTTACAGCATTGTGATCAGTAAAATACTTCCTGGGTCTAGTTTAAGGAATGATTGTTTGTTTTTAAACCAGGTTTGCTATCAATGTAACCATTCTGTCTCTTACTAACTACAGATGTAAAGAAACCTGTGTGTGTCTTTGTACTTGTTTTAAGCATGTTCATGAGGACCAAAAATTGGCATGCCATTAAACTCTTTAAAGCTTTTTTTTTTTTTTGGAAGAGGGAACACACATCCTTCTCACAGATCTTTAGTAAGTAACGGGTCAGAGGAGAGAGGTGTGAGGGCTGCAGGCAGTCTTTTTGTGTAGGTATGAGCAGATGGGAGGTGTGAATGGTTGTCTTTGAAATTTGCAGTAGGTGTTAAGGTCATCAGGAAGCTGAGGATGGTAAATGGACATATTCTTAGGCTACGTCCACACTAGCCCGGATAGATTTGAAAACGGCGTTTTCGTCTGAAAATGCTCCTCGTCCACACTAGCGTTTCAGTCGTTTTCAGAGTTGTGCGTCCACATTGAAACGGCCGAAAACGCTTGCATCCCAGTCCTGCCCATGCGCAAAAGTGAGTGAGATTTAAAGGATTGGAGGGAAAAAAAAAAGCTATCTGGAGCATGTACAAACTGATATTAATCTTTTTTAGGGCTGTCAAAAGTGAGAGCAATCAAAACAACTGCTGTATAATGCCCTCCGCTATGTTTAATTGGTCACATGACTGCATCACATGACTAAAATGCGTCATCATTTTAGAAAGTCTGCATTTTCGAGCGTCCACACTGTGATGGGACGGCTCCATTTTGAAATGTATGCGTTTTCAAGAGCGTTTCCAAAACGCTGCGTTTTTCCTTGAGGAAAACGCCATCTCAGTGTGGACGGAAGCCAAAATGGAGAGAAAACGATGCGTTTTCAAACGGAAATGCATTAGTGTGGACGTAGCCTTATGTAGCACTTTTCTACTCTCCAGGAGTATTCAAAGTGCTCTATACACACCCATTCACACAAGCACTGTTATCTATACTTTCAGTGCTTTCTAACTGTCATTCATGGATGCATTGGAGAGCAAGTCGGGGTTAGTATCTTGCCCAAAGATATTTGGCATGCAAACTGGGGGAGCCAGGGGTTGAACCAACCTTCCAACCAGCAGCTGACCTGCTCTACCTCCTACAGACAGCTGCAGCCACAGGGGTGGCTGTAGCTGTCTGTCCCAAACTGGGGGCACAGATTTTTCTTAAGCAGAAAACGTATTGGAAGCAACTTGTGGTAAACAGAGATCGTAGAAAGTGAATGATGTTCAATGACTTAAAGCGACTACAGGTGAAATTTATGCTGGAGAAACTACCAATAAGAGCAAAGGATACTACTGATTGACATATGACCTGCTTGTAAATTCATTAAAGGGTCAGATAGGCAGCTTGACCCTGGAAACTCTGCAAGCTACCAGGTGGCAGATTCAAAGTAATCTGTAATTAGTGAATCTAGTGTGTGCAGGGATATGGAGTTCCTACCAGTGTTTGTTCAGGTACATGGCACAATGTTATGGAGCATAAAGGTATTTATTGGCATTTTTGATGTGTTTTATGTCTTCATTTGTGTGTTTTTTTTTTTTTTTTTTTTATTATAGTGTTACAGTGACTTTAATGAAAGTGAAAGGAATAAAAATCAAGTATTTATATTATGTTTTTCCCAACATTACTTATTTGAATCTTTTCCTGGAATTTTTGATTAGGAAAATGCAAAATGTGACCACACTTAGTTTCATTAACACTGTTTTATTTCCCAGTACTAGTACTATTATATTGATGTTTGACCTTATCCAATTTGCAAAATAATAATCCACATCACTGTAGCTGCGGCTACAGTGATGTGGATTATTATTTTGCATTATATTATAGAATATATTTCTTGTGTTTCCTCAGAATATCTCAGTGTGCTTGTCCCAAGCTAGAGGAGGTGGCAAGGGAGAGGAGAGCTGGATGGATAGATGGCAGTGTGTTTGTCAGACGGGGTTTTAACCCTTTGCAGTTGCAGTGGTTACTCTTTTCATATTACTGCTGCCTTGGACTATCCAGAAGAGTCTAATCAGTCATTTATTGCCCAGTTATTGGGGCTGAATGTATACAGTGTCTGCTCAAATGCCACTGGATATTATAAAGTCTTTTATATGGAGTTTTTTTTTTTTTTTTTTTTTTTTCTTCTTCATCCAACCAATTGACGAAATTGTTGATAAATCAAACTTCTAACCTTTTCAGGTTGGCCATGACTAGACCACAGGGTGATTTTATTATTCAACTAATAACCTTTTTTATTTTGTTCCTAACACAGAGTAATCAACCTGACCACAGCAACCTATCGGATGGAATCAAATGTAGTTCAGCTGAAGAGAGGGACTCTCTGCTACAAGATGACATGAACTGAATGATGCGCAAATAAGCCCATCCAGCTGTTGTTGTGGACTTACCAGCATCCTCCAAGTATAATTTAACTGAAACACTGTCACAAGTGGTTTTGCAATTGTGTGTATTTATATACATATTAAGAAGTAAAGCAATAATGTAATCTTTTCATATAGAATAAGATTTATGGAACTCTATAACTCAGTATGTGTTTATGTTCTGGCTGCATGAGTTGAAACTGTTTTGTCTCTCAAGGCAGAACAAGAGAAGATTTGGAAACCACCTTTTTTTTTCCCCCTTTAGTTCAAATCTTCCAAAACAAATAGGCTATTCTTTCCAGTTGCCAGTCTAAACCCATTGAGCCTGTTATGATGATCATCACATTTGAAATGGAACAATTTATAATTTCATAATTTTATGCTTCAGCAGTAATTACTGTGGTGATTATTTATATGGTAACTTGAAAGAAATGTTTTGGTGAGTTAAAAAAACAAAACAAAATAGAACCATCCAACATAATGGTCTTACCTGTGCCATGAAAGCATTTATCTACATTAATTTTTACATGCACTGAGGATTATAGAGAGATGTTGGAACTACTTGTCGAGGCTCAAGCTGTCAAACGTCTGACCACCTGTGAGTCAAGCAGAGCCGATGCACTCCTGTTTCTGTATCGCTGTATTCTGTAAAGCTGTATTTCTTGAAATGTATGAGGATAATGCAGTTTGGTGCAAAGCACCTTCTTAAAAAAAGTTAATAAATTAAAAGAAACATGGCAGTTAAGTATAAATGTGTCCCTGTTGTCATTATGTGGTGTGTTTTTGTTTTTCATATTTGAATTCCAGCTTTTTTTTTTTTTTTTTTTTTTTTTCTCTTTTAATTTATTTTTTGGAAAGGTTATCTATGCTACATGTTGCATGCAAATAGAAAACATTGCCTGAAAAACTCTTAATTTGTCTGCTCCGAATCGCTCTTTTGTGACAGACCAGGTACACAAAGACAGAGCAACAGAAACAATAGGCCCAAAGGTTAGTGATAGCAGTTCTCCAAGAAACCAGTAAAGATTTGGGAATCTGGCTTGTAGTGGTGGACAAGTCAGGACTACCAGGTCCCTATACTATGAAGCTCATGCAACACACCCAGGTTGTCTTTATGTTATCTGAATTCATTTCCCCTAACATTGTTGGTTGGAATAAACGGTCACATGAAGCTGATTATCAAGTTGGTAAGTTAACCAAGGATTTTCCTGGCATGTTCCTCAAACAAGGGTGGTGTTGGCAGCATCTGACCAATCTACAAAAGAGGTATTTTATGAATCATGACTCTTCTTCCACAGGAAAGGACTGCTGCTACCTGTACGAGTGTGACTATTTAGACTTGAGTTTGTTTTAGAATTTAGATTTTATTATATTTATCCCCATTTATTGTTGTGATTTATTATTGCCTTTTTACTGCTCTTTTTAAACGTTTTCATTTGTACTGACTATTGCACTGTAGAGGCTGGTGAGAAACAGCATTTCATTTCATTCTGTCATTTCGTATGGTATTACCCAAACTTCTTGAAGTTGAAGGAAATTGTTTCAGTGACACCTACAACAGAAACATTATCTAGACTGCATGAAAAGAAACACACCTACCTGTTCCTTAAGTTAGGGCAATGAGGGTCCTGGCTGTCCCTGCATCTGTCCTGGTCCCCATGGTATCTAAGCCTGCACCTGTAGCCACTGACAGAGGGAGGGCAGATATTCTCATGCCATTTCACTGGGAGGGGGTGACCAAGGTCTTTCTAGCTACTTGCATTCTAATATCATAGCTTTTTCCAAGATGAGGATGGCTAGGACCCAGCTTAGCCCCACTCTTGTACCTATTCCAAGGGCAAGGGTGGTCGAGTTCCAGCTCACTTTTGCCTTTTCCTAGAGTGAGGAGGGTTAAGACCCAGCTTAATCCCAAGCCCATACCAACTCCAAAGGTGGGCCAAGTAAGATCTGGCTTAAACTTACCTGATTCCAGAGTGAGGACAGCTAAGATCCAGTCTTCCTCAGCACCCACATCTATTCAGTGCGGAAGGCTAGACCCTAACAACAGCCCCAACTGACAGAGGAAATGGATGGATATTCCCACAGTCCTAACCCAGCCTCTAGAGTCAGCTATGAGCCCAGCAGAGCTCCAGCCTCCCCCAGATCTTCCTGAGTCTTCTCCAGAAGACTACTTCTTCCAGAGAATCCTCCAAAGTGCCCTCCAGCACCTCCAGAGAATCCTCCAGTGTCTCCAAAGAACCTCAAGCCAAAGCCTAAACTGGAATCCAAGGGTTCTGAGCCTCTGGCCAAAGCCCTTGTTTTTCTTTCCCTCCTCTCCGGCCCCTTTCACCCTCCTGGATCAATGGGACTGTCCTGCTCCTTGTTTTGTATATCTCAGTCTCTGTCTCAGTGTTTGTTTGTTTTCTGTGTTATTTTGATGGTTAGGTTTAGGATTGGAGGTGAGGGAGAACCCAACTATGCTCCACCATCTCTGGCTTTATAACAGTGTGGTGAGCCTTCTGCAGCCAATCAGCACTAAAAATAAATCAGAAAAGGAGAGAGCACATTAATAAGAAAGATTAAGAACTTTTGTTTGACTAGAATTTAATAATAATAATAATGGATTGGATTTATATAGCGCTTTTCAAGGCACCCAAAGCGCTTAACAATGCCATTATTCATTCACTCTTGCATTCACACACTGGTGGAGGCAGCTACAGTTGTAGCCACAGCCGCCCTGGGGCAGACTGACAGAAGCGAGGCTGCCATATCGCGCCATCGGCCCCTCTGGCCAACACCAGTAAGGTAAAGTGTCTTGCCCAAGAACACAACGACCAGGACAGAGAGCCCGGGGATCTAACCGGCTACCTTCCGGTTACAGATACACTTCCCAACCCCCTGAGCCACGGTCGCCCAGGGGGTGACACAATAACAATAACAAGGACTGACATGACGTGGCATGAGATAACTTGGTGTGGGGATGTGGCAACCTAGGCGTGGACCAAGAGGGGGATAATTGAACCAGAGGTGGGGGACTGGAGCGTGGCAGGTAATGTCTAGTGATCACACTGAGGAGAGAGAAGAAGGAAGAAAGGGGTTAGTGTGGCAATGGCTACTGAGTGCAGGAGATGGTGACTATAACTAAACTGACTGCTTACTTGCAGGTGGAGAGAGATGAGCTTTGAGGGGATGTGATGTTAGTTCGGGTGAGCTGAATGGTACGAGAGGGCTGACCTCAGTTCCAAAGGTTCTGATAAGTGGTGGTGGCAGGAGGGCAGGCAGGTGAAGCACTGAGAGATTTCCAAGCGAGGCAGTCAATTATCTAGGAGTGCGGGATGTGGGCTAGAGCCAGAGAAACAAGTCGAGTGAATTTCCAGGGAGCTACAGCACAAGAGAAGAAGGCTAGTAAACTTCATAACGACAAAAGCATAGGTCATAAGAGCCGGATACCAACATTGGATAGTTGACAAACTAGCCGTGAGGGGACGTCAACGTGGTATTTAAGTCTCCCGACCTGATTGTCTCAAAACCAACTCCATTTGTGGAGAACAGGTGAGGGGATGGTGGCCCTGCCCAGGAGCGGATACCAGGTGACTCAGGAGAAAAGTGGAATTTTCCAGCTACTCACCCGGACTGTGACACATAGAGGGTTTGTTTAATAGAGGAAGATTAGATGGACAGTTAAACGTACGTGGTAAATAAAACTCGACATAATCTGTATAGCAATGAAAATGAAAGCCTTGCTTTCAAGAATTTTAACATAGTAGGAGCAGTTTTAGAGAGAAATTAACCCAGTGTTTTATGTCCTCATGAAATGAAGAAGGCAATATAAACCAATTCTATAGGAGGCAGCTCTGCTTATTGGTCCCCATTAAAACAGCAAAGCAGATGCCTCTAATCCAGGGGTCGGCAACCCTAGGCACAAAGGGTTAACTAATGGCACGGCCATAGCTGGACTGGCCATCGGGCATACATGGCCCGATGATTTTTTTTTTTGTAACCGTTTAAACAATGAAAAGTGGTGGATTGGCCAGATGCTGGCCGGTGTGTAAAAATAACTCAGTTGTTTGGTGGTGGCATCGCGGAGCTTCCACAGATTCAGTAACATTAACAAGTGGTGGAGGCCAGCAGGTGGATGAGGGAGATCGGAGGAAGGACGAGGAGAAACCCGAGGCGGCCGCCGGTCAGAGCCTCAGGTGAACTGAACTTCAGGTAAGAAGTTATGACCTGCAGTCTATCTGGTCAGATATAAACCAAGTTTAGGTGGAGTTTATTTTCGTTGTGCTGACCTTTTACAGTCAGTTACAATAACTCTACTGCGTGCTAGCTAGCATGACCGAGTTTCTATACAGCTGGGTGGGTGCTATGATGTTACTGATGTTGAACTTTTTTTAATTCATAAGGTTAGTTAGTAGAGTTGCCACCCATCCAGTAAAAAGATGGAATCCTCCTGCATTCAGAGAAATTATTACGCGTTTCGTGTTGAGCTGAGAGGGGACGCAGTTTGTCCCGGACTTCAGCTAGAATGAAAAAGACACAAAGCTGGAGTTATTCTTTGTCTTTGCTGCACAGCTGCCTCTTCTTCTCTCATTCTCTCACCCTCCCTCTCCTGTTTCTACTTCAATCATGAAACTGATCAATGATCAGCTGATCGGCTTTTCTCTCTTGTTTGTTTATCGCCCACTTTGCGCCAGAAAGAGGAAACCAGCGGATGTCGCGCTAAACAACAGCAGCACGTTTAAGCTTGATCAGCTGTTGTTAGAATTTATTTAATATTAATTTCTAGTATCAGCTGATGTTTGCTGGAGCCACAGCTGTAAAGCTGCTGGTCATGATATGGTTTGGTTATGTGGTGAGAGGGAAACATGAAGATGAAACCAGGAGATGTCCTTACTGAATCATCAGAGCTGAACAGGTGATGGAGAAACAGGTTTACCTTTTAGGTGACATGAATGAGTTGAAGGGAAGTTATGAACTGTTTCTGAGAGACAAATAACACCAGGATCCTTTTTCTAGTAGCTGACAGCTGGTAACTGTGCAGGGGCGGATCTAGCAAAGTTTTGCCAGGGGGCCAGGTAGGGCATTAACAGGGAAAGGGGGGCACAAAGAAATACTTTCTTATTTTCATTTAAAATGTCTGGCTGTTATTAAATAATTATCTGAAGCTTACAACCAAAGTTTTTATCTGATGTAAAATGTATAGAAATCATACATATACCAACAAGACTGTACATCACTGTCACAACAGCGTTTGTTTTCATTCAAAGGCTTTATGGCTTTAATACCTGGTGGGCCGGTCTCTAGTCAAAATGCCCGGGCTGTTTTTGTCCCAGTCCAGCCCTGGGCACGACACACAGTGAATTAATCTGAGAAGGTGCATCAAAAAATAAATGGCCGCGCCAGCGGTGCACATCGCAAATCAGCTCGCATAGACACATTAGTTGTGCCGCTTCTTAATGACGGTATCTTAACTAACAACCCCAAGTACCAGATTCAACTTGTAATTGGCTAAAAATAACTTAGCCTACTGGTGAGGGGGACGTTGTTAGCTTTCCACATTCCGACACTTCAAAAGCTTCAGGAGCTTTCCGCTCAGCACAGCATCAGCACCACGGAAATACACGGATACATCCGTAGACTCGAGACACAATGCATTTTCGGAACTTTCCGGTGTTTGGACCAATGTTTTATTTTCTGATCAAACCAGAAATCTTTAATGAGCAGCTGGATTTGTCTCGCATTAACTGGCTGAGTTAATGCCAGTTAATGCAACATCGAAGCAGCTGGAATCCACAGCTGTGCGTGTTCATGGAGCTTGCATTTTCACCTGCTGGACATCACTACCTGACAAGTTTAACTGTCTTCAGAACATTGCAGAGGCCTTATTGACAGTATTTGGCTCTACATATCTGTGTGAGCAGATTTTCTCTCACATGAGTGTCCTCAGGTAGCCGTCTGAATGCTGGACACTTGGAGACCTGTGTCTCTGAGTGG